CTGCTTTGTGTACAGCGTTACCGGGGAAACCGCTATTTTTACCGCTCCAAAAGCTGCACCTAGTGGCAAAGAATGAATTTGGATTTTCATTCAGACCAAGTTTTCAAGTTTTCCCGGGTCTGCGCGCACAACAAGTAGGCGGGCAATATGCTAATGTTTCATGTTGACGTCAACATGAAACGGCTTGGGATTCGTTTTAAGGGGAGACACTGCTGGCAAAAGCACTGTTTTTTCATGCAACTGTCAATTTTGAGATTTTGGGCTTTTTGGCTTTTCATAAAGCGTTTTTTCAGACCAGTGGAAAGAAAACATCCAAAAAGACACTGTTAAGCATTTCTTTTATAGCACTTTATCTATTTGTGTCAATAGATTTCAATTACAATACATATTTTTAAAGGCCGTTTTCTCAAAATGAGTTTTTTTCTCCTACACTGAGCCATAAATCTCCACTTCAGTAGAACTTACACACACCAAACTTTACATTTTTATTCCTGTCTATATCCTGAAGGTTTTTACAGAGGGATTTGTTCATATATAATTTGCTTGATTATATACAACATTTTATTTCCCCCAAACTTTTGAAAATATATTGTTTTCTGGCTGTTCAAAGTATTTTCTGAATTATGGAGTGACAAAAAGAGATACCCAAAATTCCCTCTGTAAAAACATTTGCCTCTAATATGTCAAAAAAAATAAAGAATTTTGAAACTGACTTCATCCAGTGTTCAGATTTTTGTACTAGAAATGTATGCAAATTAGCACATATTTAATTAAATAATGCCTCATTTGCATATTTAAACATAACATTTTACAAAACTTGTATTACAAAAAATGTTTGCAATTATCAATGTAATCAATCAACTGGGTAAGTAAGGTGATAATTAGTAGTTTTTTTTTTTTTACCCTATTCACCTGCAGTGTCTCGCCTTAAAAATTACTCGTTTAAATGATTCAGAGTCGACTCTTTCTTTTGAGAGACAATAACTTTATACACGGTGAACTTTCAGATTTAAAACTTTGCAGGATGTTTTCAATCACTTAGAGCGGTGTTACACACTGCATGAAAGGTCATTTTCAAAAATCCATAATAGGGGCACTTTAATATTGCTTTACACAGACTTTAACAAGACCTTTGTCTCAAAATATATTTTATCAATTGTATTGATTCTCATTTGCTACATAAATGTATAACATTAAAGGGGACATCAGATGCAAAATTCACTTTTACATGGTGTTTGAACACAACCACCCTACAATGATAAAAATTCACCCAGTGCTTTTTTTTTAAAAATCCCCATAAATCATGTGCACTGTCTAGGGCTGTGCGATATGGACAAAAAAACCTATTGCGATTTCTTTGATCAATTTTGCCATTTCGATTTTAATCACGATTTTGACACACACAGACATGCTTTACAGTCATAAATGCATTCAGTGTGAATTTGAAACATATTTCCAAAAGAAAACCAATTAGAGCTTAATCACAAAGCTGTAACGTCTCTAGAACAGACATAAGGCAAAATAAAGTTCACACGTACTCTGTCTGCAGTGCGTATACAGTATGTGTATGAGGTGCAGAAGCAGTACGGAATCATTTTGCTTTCGCACAGGACGCGTTTGCAGTCCGCTCCTGATCCGCGGCTGTTTACCACAAACACAACATTTATCCATTATTTTGATTTCAAATCCAAACGTTGTTTCTGAAAATGCTTTTTCAGCATTGTGGTTCTCTTTTATCACAGTACAGTATTACAATCTTTCATGGACATATTCACGTTTAAACTCAATCAATATAACTTTGTTTAACTACCACCACGAGTGCCATTCTCATCAAGATGGCGGCGCGTGAACAGCGCGAGGCTCAGCGTCTCCAGTTTTTGCAAATTACTTATTATTTTACTAGTTATTTTGAGCGCAGTTGTTCGACATAGCTACGCATTAACCTCTTACAACCGTCACACACTATTGGATATCAAACTTCGCTACACAAACACCGATGTGGATACAACACTAGATCTTCATCTACTCCCTCCCGAATTACTCCGGTCCCCGGGCTCGAGTGAATCAGCCAGTCCGACAGGAAGTGCCCGTCGTCGGCGCTGAGAACGTAAACAAAGACGGGGTAAGCGGAGCGGCCTGTGGGCTAAGCTAAAGCTCAACCCGCGTCGTCCAGAGTGTGAATGCTCTGATCTGTTAACATGGGCGCGGACAAAATACGCACCACAGACGGAGTGTGTGAACCTGGCGTTACGTTTGTATGCCCGCTATAAAGCGATTTAGAAATCGCGCACGCTCAAATCGCGATTTTATGACGATTTCGATTAATCGCACAGCCCTAGCACTGTCTCAGATCAAGTGGTTCACAGATTCTTGGCTGAGTGATGTCACATAGACCCAGGCCCCTTCCCTTAATTGTTGATTGACACTGGTGTTTTACATTACATTTAGACATTTAGCAGATGCTTTTATCCAAAGTGACTTACAAATGAGGACAACGGAAGCAATCAAAATCAAGTTAATGAATTAGATTATTAGTAAATAAATAGAGTGCAAGTCTAAAAGGAGCAAGTTTATTATTATTATTTTTATTTTTTTTATAAAGAATAAAATTAGAATAGAGAGTGCTAGAGTTAGAGGGTCAAATAAAGATGGAAGAGATGCATTTTTAGCCGATTCTTGAAGATGGCTAAGGACTCAGCTGCTCGGACGGAGTTGGGCAGGTCATTCCACCAGGAGGGAACTGTAGCGGGGTGAATGAGAACACGGACACAGTAGATGGAGTTTAACAGCAAAACCCCTGGAGGATGATTTATTTAAGCAGAGAAATTATAATACAGTGTTTTGTGAAGGTGCTCTGGTTCCCAATGGTGATAGTGTCTGTGGTCATCTGTGAAGCGCAGCGAGTGGCCAGGGGCTCAGTCTGTCTCTGTAAAAGTGGAGAGAAAACACCCATTAGTCTCTCATCCAGGGAGTATGCAACTCAACTGGCATGGTTTTCCTCCTGGCTTTTAAAGCTGTCCTGAATGAGCTCCAGGTGCGCTGGCCATCACGCTCAGGTGTTCGCCGTTGGTGATTAGTGAAGGAGCGGCGTTTTCAGGGCGATGCTGATCTGTCCTCGGATGTGCCCTCGCTGATACTCACCACAGAACAATTAATTTAAAAGTCTGTGAAAGTGATTTTGTGCCTCTTTGGGATGGCACAATAAAGCGACGTTCACTTGCAGAATGCAAGCTTCTCGAGGGCGCACAAGTCTGAAGTAATGAATTTAGGTAAAGGGGTGCAGAGCCAGTGGTGGTTTTGTAGGCAAACATTAATGCCTTGAATTTTATGTGAGCAGCTACTGGTAGACAGTGCAAATTGATAAATGGAGGTGTGACGTGCTTTATTTTTCGGCTTGTTAAAAATTAATCTTGCTGCCACGTTCTGGATTAATTGTAAAGGTTTGATAGAACTTGCTGGAAGACCTACCAAGAGAGCATTGCAATAGTCCAGCCTGGACAGAACAAGAGCTTGAACAAGGAGTTGTGAAGCATGTTCCGAAAGAAAGGGCCTGATCTTCTTGATGTTGTATAAAGCAATCTGCAGGACCGGGCAGTTTTAGCAATGTGGTCTGAGAAAGTCAGGTATGTATGTGTGTATAGTTTGTGTATGTGTGTGTATAGTTTTGCACTGTCTTGGCATTCATTGTGGACAGCAAAGTAAGAATTTCATTGCTCAGGGAAACTTGTTTTCCTCACCGGGCATATGACAATAAACGCTTTGAATCCTTTTAATCCTTATTAACAGTGATTTGCTGTCACCTGCTGGCGGTTTTAATTTCAAATTTCGGCTTTTTCTTTCTTTTTGTTTTGATTTTTTTCATGTTTTAAATCATTTCAAATATCAGTATTCAACGTTTTATGTTTAATATATCAAAACATTATTTATGCATTTGCAATTGCAGGTTAACACAGAATATGAAGAATATTAAAAACATTAGGAGTCAGCTGTCTTCGGCAGTCCTTAAGGTACCAGCACAATAACACACTTCGTCTAATTATCGTTATCGATAAAATCCCATAAAATATCGAGATATAATTTTTTGTCAATATCGCACAGCCCTAGAATGTGCCTCCGATCTACCTAAATGCGTCTATGTTTGCGGGAATCATTCGTGATCCAGCTTCACCTCCAGAAGGAGCGAGTATAAGTATTTGCAAATCGCCTTTCCTAATAACGTGCTAATTAGCAAGTTTCACGATGAGAAACGGTCGTCCATAAAATGCATTGCTGTTCTGTTGTAAGTGATCTTAAAGATTCCTAAATGCAGCTACTTTCGGAAGGCCAAATAAAGTGCTTTTGCTTTCGCCTAGAAACACACAGCGTCTCCCTGACATGGCTGCTTCAACACTAACTGCAGTTACTGAAACCACGCCTTCTTTCTTTGCGTGCACATTTGGGCAGCATTATGCAAATATTGCCACATAGTGAGGTAGATATGTGGGGGCGTGTTAGAACGAGCCATTTTAGGGGGGCGTGGCAGAGTCTTAACTTTGATAAAGAATATCTCTTTGGGTTTGAGACTTTAGTCTTTGCAACTTCAGGGATCTTATCTATGCACAATCAGCTTGTAAAACTCCAAAGAGAAAGGAAAACTTGAAATCGCATCATATGACCCCTTTAAGACCCTAAAGAATCATACCAACTTGTGGAAAATGGGCAACTGATGGCCCCTTTAAAACGCATGAAATATTAGATCAAATAAATGCAGAATCAACTTTATGTTGCTTTGTGTTGGGTCATGAATGAGCCACATTTCCTTGCATATATTGAAACATGAATGTATAGGAAAGTGCTGCGGTGAGTTTTGTGCCATCTAGTGGTTAAGAGGAAAATGAAATCAAACCCTGCTGTATCTTTAGCTCTGTTGTACCCTACTGTGTAAATGTAAATGTGAAGGGTGTCATTTCTGTGCCTCTAGCATCACCAAACAAACTGAATTTGTTGTCTTCTGTACTCAGGGGTCAAAACCTGAGTGCACGCAGTCTGACCAGCTCGTCTATAAACAGAACGGTAAGACTCTGACACGTCATGTCCAACAGATCTCGCTGTAACGGCTGTAGAATGAGCATTAACTCACAGTTTGCCTTGACTTGCAGTGCTTCACACTGGAAAGCGCTGGTTCATCATCTGTCCTGTGGCGGAGAGGGCCGCGCCTAATGGAGAAGAGGCTGCCGCGAGTAATTCAGCACACATGAACTAATGCTAAACATTAGGTTTTTAACGTTATCAAAATCTCACGATACGATAATATCTCGATATGAAGTCCACGATACGATATTTATTGCGATATTTAAAAAAAAACAGACAAATGAAAACTTGGGGAAAAATGAACATTTTGTACATTTTAGTTAAATTCTTCTATTAAAGCACTGTGAAAGTTCAAAATTAAGAGCTCCAACCCATGTTCCTAAGAAGACTTATATATTGTAAAAACAAAATTCAAATTAATATTTCATAGGTATGTTATTTTTGCTTTACACTACAGTAGAGAAATTGCAATACTTGAAAAGAGATATTTTGAATTTGGACTGAATTTAAATGTTACCCATTTAAACCGCTAGCTGTCATTAATTCATACTGCACTTTTATTTTAGACAGCTTTTAGTTTGATGGAAACGGCAGTAGAGCTTTTATTTTGGTGGAAAACTCCAGCTTCAGTAAAAACAGGCTTACAAAAATGCGTCTCACTACAAACAGTGAAATGCTGTAATCATCTGCCCATTAAAATGTTGAGAATTATACGAATGTAAAAATAAAGCCTAACTGGTGGCTGTTGCGTTCCCAAACTCACAGCACGTGCAATAAACGAGTTCACTGCATTCATTCAGTGTGAACAGAACCGTTCTGAGGTGCAGAAAACACACGATCACAAGCTGATCACCTGAACAATGTGTGTGCTTCGCTTTGAAACAGCAAAAACAGACTTCATGAAGGGATTAAGCATATTGTGCTTTCCGTTTGAGTTCACTTGACAGATACCGTGCCAAAGCATAATGGCCCAAAACACAACTTTAAAGACCTTCTATGTTAGAATAAGAAGTTTAAATATATTTGAAAAATTATACTTTTTGCCTGGAAGACAAATATCTTTTCATATTGTCATGTGACCACAATAATATTGAGACAGTTTTGCTATCGCGATACCACAATGTTGATAATATCATTACATCCCTACTAAACATGCTTACAAATGATCATCTCACACTATTACCTGTGTCTCTCCAGACCCAGAGAGCTCCTCTACATCTCAAACGCAGGATGTGAGCACAGCCAGAGCCAAACCTCTGCAGAAATGGCCATCGGTGCCACAGGCGTCCCTCTCTGAGGTTGCTCCGTCGGCCGAGGGCCCTCAGGCTGCCTGCACAGCTGTGGTTCCTGACATCCCATGCTGCCCCATTGTGCCTCCCATTTCACTGGACGTCTCTGCTCAGAAAGCAGCGGAGGTCCCTCAGCAGCCAGTCGCTTACAGCAGCAGCCCCGGTGTGGAGCCGCCCATCAGCCAGACCCAGACCCCGCCCGTGGTGCTGCTTCAGCCCTTTTCCACGCCCACTCCACAGGCTTTGGTCAGCAGCGGCCAATCACAGCCTCAGAGCCCCACCCATCAGCCCCAGAGCTCCACCCATCAGCCCCAGAGCCCCACCCATCAGCCTCAGAGCTCCACCCATCAGCCCCAGAGCCCCGCCCACCAGCCCCAGAACGTCCCGCCCCTGCAGCTGGGTGAATCGGACGGGGAAGGGCCACCCAGGCTGGAGTTCGCAGACAGAACGATAAAGACTCTGGATGAGAAACTGAGAAACCTTTTGTACCAAGAGTACCACCCCTCGCAAACCACGAGCTCCGCCTCCGAGCCGCCCGGATCACCGCCGTTGTCCGACAGCCAGGGCAGTGAAGCTGCCGTGAGGAAAGCAGAAAAACTGGTAAAGTCAATCCTCATCGTATTCATTTAAATTACATTTATTCATTTAGCAGACACTTTTATCCAAAGCGACTTACAAATTAGGAAAATAGAAGCAATCAAAATCAACAAAAGAGCAATGATATGCAAGTGCTATGACAAGTCTTAGTTAGCTTAACGCAGTACACGTAGCAAGGTTTTTTTTGATTAAATAATAAATAAAAAGAAAACAGAATAGAAAAAGAATAGTGCAAGCTAGTGTTACAGGCCTTTTTTTAAAGAATAGAATTAGAATGGAGAGTTCTAGAGTTAGAGGGTTAAATAAAGATGGAAGAGATGTGTTTTTAGCTGATTCTTGAAGATGGCTAAGAAGTATTGTTTGTGTTCACAAACAATATGAGCTGTCAGCCCTTATGAAAATTAACCATGGTTTTACTACCAATAAAACCAAAAAACCATGGTTACTATAGTTAAACCAGGGGTGTCCAAAGTACGGCCCGCGGGCCAAATGCGGCCCGTGAATGAATTTCAAACGGCCCACAGCTTGTCTATTAAAATGTATTAGCCTATATATGGCCCGCCAAGCATAATTTACAAAATATGCAGTTTCAAAATGTCAACACAAGGTGACAGCACTACATTTTAAGCTAGATTTAGCAGTAAAACGCGAGTGACAACAATTTGATCTCATATGCGCTGCACGAATGCAAAAGTGCAAGAGCGCTACTGGTCTGAGTGAGCTCAGAATAAATGCGTTTACTCTGGTCACACGACCACTGAACAGCGCTGTGAGATTCCGTGAGCTCTCAAATACAAACCACAGATGTCGCGATGATTTAAACTAGTTTAAAGGCAGATGAAACAGCGCTGCCATTCTCAACAACACTGACAGAAAACAGGAGAAACATTGTGTGACAACATGCAGTTATAATACATTTTAATCCACAAATCATCAACATTTGAATACTTTCGCAAGGCACTACAAACACACACACACACACACACACACACGCACACACACACACACATATACAGTATATACATTTCTGTCAGGACCACTATCGTCAAAATGATAGATACTTAGCATAAAGTTTGGTTTGGCGGTATGGTTC